CTATAAATAAATGTTATAAATAACATGAACAGAATACCCAGATAGAAACAATGGGCAATGTGAATCAGGGTTGGATTCTCTGTAGAGTTTTTCAACAGTATAAGTCAAAAGCTTTGTAGAAAAGCATGTATACTTTTGTACACAATCAGCTTAGAGAGGGGCCGGGAAGATGGCTCAGTGGAATAAGTGCTTCCCTAACAATAAACTTACAGAAAGCTCTTGCAAGAAAAAAATTTAAAAGTGTAGAGAGAAATGTATAGAAAGGTGGTGATGTCAGTGCAGTTTATAATTATAAAAAATAAAAACCTAAGAGTGATCTAATTGTCTATAAATAAAGGATTAAAGTATGGTATCTCCTTAGAGTAGATCATGCAGCTGTCAAAAATGAGGTTATAGTTGGGCACAGCAGCATGTACCCATGATCCGAGCTACTTGAGAGGCTGAGAAAGGAGAACCCTGTGTTTGAGGCAGGTCTGGGAAAAATGCTAAGACTATTTTGTTTTTATTTTTTATGTGGAATGATGTTTGTTGACTTGGAAATGTATGTGTATGCTGAAGAATGCAGAATTCTGGAAGGAGGACCACAGTTGATTTTTGTTCTGTTCACACTTCTGTGTTTTCAACTTAGTTGTTTTTACAATCAGAGTATAAAATAAAGCCATTGAAATGAGAAGAGAGAATTTTTGGAGTAACAATTGAATTATTTTCTGTTCTTGTGCTCAGTAAATATATAGCAGACACATGATTAGGCATTTAAGAATGTTTCATAATCTTTTTAAATAAAGCATCTTATTAAAATTAAATATGACCTTATGTTTACTTCCGCTGGTTATAGCCACTTGTATACGTCTTAGTTATATATGTCTTAATGTGAAATCTCCTGCTTAGTGTGAAATTATTCTGCCCCAGAAAGCAAACCAGTTATGTTTAGAAGACATTGTTTCATATTTAGAAAACTGATCAGTAGAAATTCATTGAAGAAATGGATACATAGGAGTTAAATAAATGAATTTCCTTCAAAATACCATTGTCTTTGTATAATGCCTTTTCTTTCTCCATAGGTCTCCTGTCTTTTGGAGTAAAAGAGTCTGCATGGGTGAATAAATTCTTCACAGCTGTAAATATCTTAGTCCTTCTCTTTGTCATGGTTGCTGGGTTTGTGAAAGGAAATGTAGCTAACTGGAAAATCAGTGAAGACTTCCTCAAAAATGCATCAGCAAGTGCCAGGTAAAATATTTAGAGGTTTTCACCTTCTAAAATGTTACATTTTAGGGCTGGCCAGATTGCTCAGCAGATTAAAGCACCTGCTTAGGCAGATGTAGGGGCCAGGGTTTGATCCCTGGAGGTGGCGCCAGCCCCACCCCCGGGGCACACTGAGGCAGAGATTGAGATGGTGGCACCCACCTGTAATCCCAGCACTTGGGAGGCTGAAAACAGGAGACTCACTGTGAGTCCGGTCTGTGTGGTGGGACCCTATAGACCCTGTGCTAAATAAAAAAATAAAATTAAAAATTCATTCTTTCAGAATGTTAGTAATTTTTAGTCTTTGTTTTCTGGGGAATGTTATCAATTGTATAAGTAGAAATAAGATTACAAAAATATAAATTACATGAAGTAAAATAAATCTGTCTATATATCTGTCTGTCTCCCTCTCTCCCTCTGTCCCTCTGTCCCTCTGTCCCTCTGTCCCTCTCTCCCTCTGTCCCTCTGTCCCTCTGTCCCTCTCTCCCTCTGTCCCTCTCTCCCTCTCTCCATCTCCCTCTCTCCCTGTCTCCCTCTCCCTCTCCCTCTCTGATATCTTGTGGATTGAATCCAGGGCCTTGCGCCAGGCTAGTTAGTGCCTTCTCACTAGTTATATCCCTAGCCTATTTGAAATTTAAGACAAGGTCTTGCTAGGCTGCCCAGGCTACCCTTGAATTTGTGATCCTTCTGCCTCAGTCTCTTGCATAGATGAGATTACAGGTGTATGCCACCCACACCTTGCTTTGTTATTCTTCATATATGTAATTTGTAGTCATTCTGGTAAGAGAAAAAGTTAGAATCCTCTGGTTTTATACAATTTTAAACATACAGTATTCACCTTTGGTATTATTAATCAAGCATAGGAAACTTCGTTTCATTTTTCCACTTAGTGAATCCACTTCTTAATGAATTTTAAAGATGTATGGTCTGCTTTATTTTGTGAAGGTGAAGAATGGATCCTTATAGAAAAAAAGATGTCTTATTTTACTGCACATGTTTCATGTGGTATGGAGTCTCCATTCTCAAAGTCCAGCCTGCCTTTTTGTCGTAGACAGGGTGGTTCTGGGGGCTGTATGCATTTGCTGGTGATTAGCCCCTAGCTGGATGTGACTGTTATGGCTTGTGTCACAGTGTCCCCCCAAAGCCTCATATGGTCAGAGGTGGGGCTTTTTAGAGGTGACTGAACGTGACTGATTCAGGTGCAGTGCTAGGATTAAGGATGCAAGGATTAAGGGTGGGTGATTATTACATCAGTCCGCTGATTGGTTTGCACTACCTTCATCTTTGTGGCCTAGAATATAAAAGGGGCAGAAAAAGGTTGCTAAGGTCCTTGCTTGCTTGCCTTGCTACCTTCTATCCTCTGTGAACTGTTTCTCCACAGAGATGCCTGTGTGCCTTGCCACCCTGCCTTGGAGCCAGCTAGTTGTGGACTAAAACATCTACAAACAGACTGTGAGCCCAATAAACCTTTCTCCCTTTAACTTTGGGCCCCAAGTATTTTCCCTCAGCAATGAGAGAAAAGTAACTAAGGCAGTGACATAAGAGAGTTATTGTGAGTGTTCTGTCATGTTCTCTAAAGCAGGTTGAGATGATAAGGTTTCAGTTCTATATTCATTAGGTTCAAAGAGCTGAAGAACATGTAATTTGAGTCAAATTCCTAAAGGAATATGTTTCTATGAAAATGACTTTCCAATGTGTTTCTTCTCTTTCTTGTAGAGAATCGCCTTTTGAAAATGGAACAAGTATCTATGGGGCTGGAGGCTTTATGCCTTATGGCTTTGCAGGAACCTTGGCTGGTGCAGCAACTTGTTTTTATGCATTTGTGGGATTTGACTGCATTGCAACAACTGGTAAGAGCAGTGTCTCAGATCTACCACAGGAGGAGCCCTGGGTGGAAGCAGAGGGTCAAGGAAGACAGATGCTTTGGAGATGAGATGGGTGCTAGTTCCAGATCTATCTGTGACATCTTCTATATGTGATTTTTTAAAAATAAAACATTTGGTGAAACTCTCCAAGCCTTGATTCTGCATTGGTAGAATTGGAAGACAGTACAAAGATTACCAAGGTACACACATGAGAAAAACTTTACAAGCTGTGAGATACATTACATATGTAATTCATGATTATTATCCTTAAACTATGTGGATGTGCTATTACTTCCAAACGGTTATGTTCTTAAACTGTCTTTTCCTTTAGTGGACAAAATATGGTGTTATTTTCTCTTTATCTGGTACAACAAAGTTCTTATAACTGAATCACTCAAGGGCCAGAAAGATAGCTCAGTGGACTAAGCACCTGCTTAGGCAAGCGCAGGGACAGGGGTTCAATCCCCAGAACCACACGCCATGCTGGTCCTGCCCTGGATGCGCAGGTGTGGTGGTGTACCCCTGTAACCCCATTACTGGGAAGGCTGAAAACAGGAGAATCACTATGAGTCCAAGCTGTGTAGTGAGACCTTGTATCAAATACATTTTAAAAACCTAAAAAATAACTTGACTCATTCTCCAGGTGCTCTTTCTAGTTTCTTGTCATTTCATAGCCTTATAACTACTCATGTCTGAGGTCCTTCAAAGGTCAAATCTTACAAAAAGGTTATAGAGAATTCAGTTGCATATAAATGAAATAAGTTTATCTAAAGCCTTCATGTGTGTGAACCTACAAAATGTCACAGCAATTATTTAATTTATAAGGGTGGGTCTTTATCCATATGGATTGAGATTGCTGTCCCTAAACACTTAAGAGTGCTGATATATCATTTCTTTTCCTCGAAATGGGAATATTACTTATATGATTTCTCCTTCTGGAAATTGGCTTTTTATGTAATAGAAAAAGTACCTTAAAAAAGAGAGGGGAAATTTAATGTAAGATAAGTGGATCACACTAAGAAAACTGAAGTGACAAAAGCAGATTAGAATTATCATGGGAGAGAAAGAATTTGATGTGCATTAAGTTTGCCTAATAATAGCTTATTAAGCATGCACATTGTTTGTTTGTATTTCCTTAGGTGAAGAAGTCCGGAATCCCCAGAAAGCTATTCCTATTGGAATAGTGACTTCTTTGCTTGTCTGTTTTATGGCCTATTTTGGGGTCTCTGCAGCTTTGACACTTATGATGCCATACTATCTCCTTGATGAAAAAAGTCCCCTTCCGGTAGCATTTGAGTATGTTGGATGGGGTCCTGCCAAATATGTTGTTGCAGCGGGCTCCCTCTGTGCACTGTCAACAAGGTACATTCCGTTATCTTTGGAACGGGGACTGTTTGGGTTCCTGCAAAGTATAGTCAGTGTCTAAAACTGCTTTCGGATGTTCTAAAAATATCCTAACATGAGGAACATATTATGCAGCTATGTATTCATTGAATAGTTGACCCAGAATTGCTGTTAAAAATCTTGTGATTAAGAAGAAAACTTTGACCATCAGTTGAAAGAGAGTTTTTCAAGATATTGTTGGTCCAAGCTTCCATGTAAATACATATAGCATTGGTACGTGCATAAATACATGTCACACATATTCATGTATCTGTGTGTTGTAAAAGTTCAGGATGCTTACACTCGTATGGCTCTTCTGTCTTTGGTGTCACTTGAAGTGCTTCAGATAATCTGAAACTGCATGCAGACTTGACATTTTCTGTAGTCCTTGTAATAATAGTCTGTTGGCAGGCTGGCAGCACATGCCTATAATCCCTGCACTCACGAGACTGAGCTGGAAGGTCACCACAAGTTCAAGACCAACCTGGGCTACATAGTGAGTTCAAGGCCAGCCTGAACTACATAGCAAAACCCTGTCCTCAAAATGTAATAATGATAGTCTAAGTGGAAGCTATATGTCTTGTCATTGTAAAATACACATGTATACTGTAATATAATTTGTCAACCTAGCGCTTTTTTTTTCTCTCTCTCTCCAAAATAGCTTACATTTTCTGGAGAAAATAAGATTGGGTGACAATTAGGAGTTACCCCTGTAAGCCAGATTCCTCGCCATATACCTGTAATCTCAGCTGCTTAGGAAGCTTCAGCAGCGGAATCAATAGTTTCGGACCAGCCTAGGTCAGTTAGTGTGACCAGGTCTCAAGTGCTGAGGGAAGGCTGGAACGTAGCTCAGTGCTAGAAAGTTAGCCTGTGAGATCGTTAGCTAGGCCAAGGCTTATACCCCAGGACCACCAAAGACAAATGCCTTAACTGTGAAGCCCCAGGCCATCATGGTCTTAGAAGTGATGGACACAGATTCATCTGTGGCCAAGCTTAACTTGCCCTTATTAAAAGATAAAATGAAAATGAAATTGTTAAAAAGTACAGGCCTCCCCAAAGGCTGCTTCCGGGAACTGAGGCCAGCACTGTTACTGATCTGGACCTACAGTGGGGAGCTGGGCCACAGGCATCCCCAAAGTTTCAGATCCAAAGAATAAAATTTTTACTTGATTTCCCTTATATGTTATTTTTCACAATTAAGTCATATATGGATAGTGCAACCAATAAATAGAAGTAATTCAAAAGTATCTTAGGCAAAAATTGTCTTACTAAACTTCACTATTACTAATATTTAGTTTTGGCTACTTCTGTATATTCAATTTACAGTAAGTTTTTTTTTAACTTTTCTCTTCCTTGATTTTATTGTGCTGAGAATTACTAATTTGTTCAAAGATCAAGCTGTATAATTTTAAATGGTCATATATATCCTTAATTATGGAATAAAAGAGGAAACTGAACATGAGGTAAAATTAATCTCTTCTTTAATTGCATTTTAATTTAGAAATTTTATTTTTTGAATTATTGCCACTAAAAATGTTATGATGATATTGGTTTGATTTCTTGAAAAGTCTAATTACTTCATTTTAATTCAGTAATCACTATTGGCACTCACAAATGAGTTGCAGTATTGTTGTTAGACCGATAATTTGGTCAGGCAAATATTTGCAACAGAATAAAGAGTAGCATGACAGTCAGGATTGGCAGGTGCATTTTAAATGCCCAATTAATTATAGTGCATTTAAAAAGTAATGACTTCATAGTCACACTGTCATGCTAATTTTTATACAGTTGCTGAATTTCAATCTGGTTTGTAATCATGCATGAATGTGTTTGCCATACTGCATGTCTTTGCTTTTCATTCAGTCTTCTTGGATCCATTTTTCCAATGCCTCGTGTAATCTATGCTATGGCGGAGGATGGGTTGCTTTTCAAATGCCTAGCTCAAATCAATTCCAAAACGAAGACACCAATAATTGCTACTTTATCATCGGGTGCAGTGGCAGGTGAGAGAGCTGACTTTTCTTAAGAAAAGGGAAATCTTTTTCATCAAGGCCCTTGAAAAAAAAATAGAAAGTTAGGTGATTTTCTATTTTGGTTGTTAAGTTTTTTGTGCCTGTTTCCCATGTTGAATTTTTTTTTTTTTTATTCTGTACTTTAGTGTGTCCAGTCTGTACCTATATATTTACTGTTTAGAATAGTATTTATTTAACTCACATGTGGATTATGGATTTTTCTATTCTAGTCTTCTGGGCTCTATGTTTCCTTTACCCCGCATTCTGTTTGCCATGGCCCGGGATGGTTTACTGTTTAGATTTCTTGCCAGAGTGAGTAAGAGGCAGTCACCAGTTGCTGCCACGTTGACTGCAGGGGTCTTTGCTGGTAAGCTTTACAAACTTTGGACGGGAACATTTTGTACGCATGCATGGACTTACAAAGAATCTGCATGCTGTGCATGTAAGTTAAGAACAAAATCCTGGATAAATTAGTGTATGAGCACTGGGATTAACATGTGAAAATTGTGGTGGTGGTGCTGTACTGAAATTTATAATTAACTGATCCTTCGGGATGTTTTATTATTTCATTACTTTAATGATTTGGGCTTCTAACGAATGTGCAAAAATTCTAAAAGCTTTTCACTACTTATAATTAAAAGAATGAGCACATCAAATTCTACTTTTGATATGGAAAATTTTAATTGAAGAGTAATTCATGACTTGGTTTAGCAATATGAATTAATGACACTGGGATTTTTATTACTACATGTTTGGAGTACAAGCAGTATATACTTGTCTTGGGTAGTGAGTAAAACACTAGAAGTCATAGGTATAGGGAAAGATTTTCTAACTAGAACCACAATTGCACAAGAAGTAATACCAAGCATTAATAAATGGAATTACATTAAATTAAAAGTTTTCCATAAAGCAAAGAAATCAATTAGTAGAGAGAAGAGAAAACCTATAGAATGGGGGGAAATTTTTTTCCTAGCTGTTTCTCAGAAGACTAATATCTAGAATATATAAAGAACTCAAAAAAGACCACATAAAAGACTGACTCAAGGAATGGGCAAATCAAATGAACAAATACACACTCTACAATGAAAGGAGTACACATGCCCAACAAATACATAAAAAAATGTGCAACATCTCTGAGAATTTTAAAAAGACTAAACTTCATTCTCTTTTGATCAAGCGTGAGAAAGGCCAATGAAAGCTAATCGTTTGCCATTGTACTTACTGCTCTTAGGAGGGTGGGCGTCCCTGATTCCTGGGCATCTTGTTCTTCTAAGGCGAGCATCCTCCCAAAACCCCCTGGGGATCTAGTCCTTTTGGCAGTTTGAACACGCAGGTTACATGTCCAGAATCCAGATTGCCTACATTTTGACAGGTCTTAATATTCATGCAAAATGCCCTTGGTGAGATTGTTACAGCTGGAGAAATTTTCAGAGCTTCTGTAGGTTAAGAGAATAGCCTTAAAGGTACTGTTATAGGAAGGAAGAGAAGAATTTAGCAAGCTTTATAACTATATAAAACTTTGCAGTCTTGACATTAGGAATTCAAATCAAAATGATCGTTTTATTGAGGCTATGAAGTGTTGGAAAATTAGAGAATGCTAGTATCTCATTATATATGAAATGGATTGTTGTTCAGCATCAGAAAGTGTTTACCTCACCAGCTTTATTTTAGTAGCAAACAGTTTTTTTAATAGCTCTCACAATTTGAAAGGTCAGGTCATATATTTTATCAGGCTTCAATTTCTGTCCCCATAAAATGAAGACTGCTAGATGATCTAAAGCCCATTGTATGATTAAATTATGTTACTTTAAAGACAGTTTTTTTTTTTTTTTTCAGTACCGGAGATTGAACTCAGGACCGTGCGCTTATTCTACTGAGCTATCTCCCCAGGTCCATAAATATTTCTTGACAGGGATCACACATCTTATTTGATCCCTAAAACCCATTACTCCTTCCAGTAAAAATTTTTCCCAGTAATAACGCGATTTTTTATTCAGAATTTTAAAAATAATTTATCTTTCTTATTCCCTCAGGAAGAATGGAATTTAGCAGAATAAAATACTGACAATCATTAAAAGAAGATAGTTATAATAAAATGCTATTAATGCTCTAAATTAGTACAGTTTTGTTATTTTGTGCTCCTATACCTTATTACACTTATTTTTAACTTGGACCAGAAAGCTGATACAGATAAATAATCACTTTTTTCCTCTGTTGACTACCTCACTTGACTATCTGTGATCCTTTAAAAAGCATGCTAAAATTTTAATAATCTTATATGTTTATTAGCAGTGAAGAGTGCTATATATAATATATTAAAAGAGAAATCTCTAACATATGTCAGGCCAAGAATTCAATTCCCAGCACTACAAAAAAGAATTTTTAATAAGATGTGGTATTATCAAAGTAGTACACATAGAGGTGTTGGCTTACTTAGAACTCTGGGTCTATCTAGTGATTGTAACCTTACTAAATTAACCTTTCTACAAGATGGGGATATTCCCATTAGGCCAGACCATAGGAAACTGCCAGGGTTTTGGTTAAAAAAATAGTCAAATACACTTCATTTTATATATCTAAAATGAAATGTCCCACCTCAGAGGATCATTGTCTTGAAGATGAGATCAAAGATCTAAAATTTACATAGAGGTCTGCATACCACATAAATTGAATGTAAAGTTACCTACTTATTAAGATAGAGACTACTATAAGATACATTAAAATTTCAAGTTAATATTATACTTTACCTCCTAACTTTATTGGGATTTGGTATACAGAATCACAAGTTGATCTTTAACATTTAATCAGTCTACTTGGAAAGTGTAGTTTTAGTTTAATAAGAATAAAATTTAGTCTATATCAGAAATATAATTATAAATCATTATTTAATTTTGTCAAAAGTATTTTGAAGGTTTTGAATTTGTGGTATAACTTTTCATATGGCTGGAAATTAAAATGTTTTTTGACTTCTATAATGAAATTGTTAGAATTTTTTTATTTTAAAGAGCAAGCTGGCCTGTCTATTTTTTAGTAATATTTTTCTTCTGATGCATCAGAATGTGGTCTTCTGTCACCCATTGTTTTCACGTTGTTAGGACAGGTGTGTAGACCAAAGTAGATGTGTCTTCACTTCACAAGCTTTTCAAGTCTCACTAGTGGTTTCTGTGTCCTGAAGACATCTTATTAGATGAGAAATTTTTTTAATACTTTGCTTGGCTTACGATTAGTACTAAAACAAAATTGCCAGTCATTTGTCTCTGACATAAAAGTAAACTAACTTCATCAGGAGGCTGTTGGCCTTACCTTTCTCTACTTTCTTTTCTTAATAGCTGTGATGGCATTTCTTTTTGACCTGAAAGCCCTGGTGGACATGATGTCCATTGGCACACTGATGGCCTATTCCCTGGTTGCAGCCTGTGTGCTCATCCTCAGGTGAGTTACACTGACTCGGAAGGGGGTGCCAGATGGGACACGGACAGTAGACGATTGGGTGATGAGTTCAAGCCCAGCTCCAGCAACTTAAAATAATTTTTGAAAGTGTTGTTAATGTAGCTTATACAAAGGTCCTGGATTCAATCTCCAGTAATACAAAAATGAGAAACGAACAACCTATACATCCCAGTATGCTGAGATTTTATACTGAAGGTTTAATCAAAGAGGTTAAAAAAAAAAAAAAAAAAAAAAGTTCATAGAAAAGTTTTTGAGTGAAAAAGTAGCTCACATGAATAACAGTATGAGAATGGCCAGTAGAGTCTTTTATGGCCAATAAAATGATACTTAATAATATGAATAAATATTTCTGTTTCAAGGGCCAGGGAGATGGCTCAGTGGAATAAGCGCTTCCCTGTCAAGCGCAAGGACCTGAGTTCAATCTCCAGTTTCACAAAACAAAAAAAAAAAAAAATTTCTGTTTCAGAATACAAAGCTCTATATAACATCTGAATTTAATAATATAAATGTACATTAAGAATATATATATATATATATATAATGAATATACATGTATACCCAGATGAAATTGAACCAAAATGCATAATGATTAGTATCAGGTAGGGGTGTTATGGATAGTTTTAATTTAATTTTGCATATTTTTCTATAAACATATTTTTATATGGAAAAAATGTTACGTTCTGAAATAAGCAAAGGGTGCTCAGAAGGAGAATAGGCTACAGTGGGAAGACGGAGGCAGACACTAGGTGGTGAAGTAGGCTGATGTCTTGTCACAAGCTATGGAGAGAAAGAGTAAACTCATAAAGGAGAATACTGTACATAGTATGGGAGGTGGCTGAACAGCTAGATAAGCAGGACTTGGCTAAGGCAGAGGAGCTGGGTTGGAAAGTTGTGAGATGAGGATACAGAGACTGTGTGCTAGCTTTCTGTTGCTACAACGGTTTCTATTGCTGTAACAGGCCTGGAAAGGCCTGGAAAGGCTTGTTTTTGCTCATGGCCCCGTGGCCTGAGTCCGTGGTTGGCTGACTCCATTGCTTCCCGGCCTGTGGCAAGGCAGAAACCTCATGGCAGAGGAAAGCTGCTCGTTCTGTGGCGGACAAGCAGCAGCAGGCGCACCTGCACTGGCAAGTGCCTGGCAAGCGCCATCGTCCTCTTCCTCCTCCTGGGCCTCCAGCCTCACACAGCACCATGTCACCAGTTTGCTGTTGCACATGCCTGCCATCCTCACAGATGCACCTGAGTCTGTGCTGTACCAGTTTCATAGGTGCTTCCAAATCTAGTCAAGCTAGCAGCCTAGATTAACCATCACGAACTATGTGGTGGACCTTTTGAATATCAACCCAAGGAGACTGCATTATTCTCTAGCTCCTATTTAACTGGAGTTTCCCTGATGTGTATCCTTTGGACTTAGATGATTTCAGAAATAGCCATTGGATTGTCACAGTTGCCTCACTACAAATTTAACTTTTTTTTTTAATGTTTGCTCTATAACTTTCTAATGAAGTGGCCATTGGCAGAAGTTCATAGTCACTACAGATACTTTATTGAAAAGGCTTGTGGGCTGGCCCAGTGTAGCACAGGGCTGGAGTCATGAGAAGGATCACTTGACCACACACACTGAGACTTTGTAAGATGTCTCCCCTAGGTTCTTAGTGCTGGGTTCATTTGGGCCAAATGGCTGTTTGAGAATAAAGACACAAATATTTACTTGGGGATAGGTACCAGCCTGGTTTATGTTACGAGCAGCCCAAATATCCCCCTGAAAAGCAAGGCCTGGAATCTTGTACCAGTGCGGCCTCAAAGAGCGAGTCACAGATCACCATGCTACAAAGACATGGCTTCAGCCTGCAAGCCCTCTTCAGCCCCTCTGCTCTGCCTACGAGACAGTCAGCGTCTCTCGTGAGCTTTCTGGTGGGATTCCTGGGTAAGTCATCTTCACTGCATGCGTATTAAGGCCTAGCAGGGGTATGTAAGAAAGAGGACCTAAGGCCTCATGATATCCTAGAATGTGTTAGCTACCAGCTTGAGTCTGAAATTTCCATCTAGAGTCATTAGTAATTGAGTTCATGTTTATACTATCAAGACAAGTTTAACAGGGGATGGGGACAGGGATATAACTTGGCACAAGTGCCTATCTGGCAGGTGCAAGGTCCTGAGTTCAATCCTTAGTACTTGAAAAAAAGTTTAGCGTGATTTGACGATGGAAGAATAAGGAAGAAATTCTGTAAGGTAAGGGGCTCACAACTGGAACATTCTACTAGCTGTTAGGCCACCCTGTGTTAGAAAGCTTCAGGCCAGGAACACCTTCAGCAGTGGATGAGACCAGCAGGATGGGAAAGGAACATAGAAAATCCTTGTTTGCTCACTTACAGCTACCTAATTGTCTGTATTTCCAGTGACGTTTATTGAGCCTCATCTGTATACTAGGCATTCTGCTAGGAATTCGGGTTGTTGATAGGGATGGTGCTTGCTGTCACAGGGCTTTATGGTACAAGATTATTGGCGACAATCTAGGGAAGAGCAGGTTTTGCTGAGAGAAATTGGGAGATCTGATGCAGATGATGATCAGCAGTGGGATGATGTCTTTGTCTGAAACAGAAAAAAGATGCACACCATGTACTACTTGTGTGCCTTAGCAATCCATCTTTACGACAGTTTGAAACAGAGTTACTGTTGCTCATTTGTAAATAGAAAGATGTCCACCCCCAGCACATCCCATCAGTCCCTGGGACAGAGCCTGAGAATAGCAAATGAGAAACAAAGGCACCTGGCCAGAGAAAGTGGGATGGTAGCTCCAAGCGTAGGGACTGGTTTCTGAGACAATAAGGAATTGAATAGTGCTCCTCAACTCAGTGAAACTTACTACTTCTTTTCACAGTGAAAACTAAGAAAAGACACAAGGAAGACCCTGTATTTACCAAAGTAGATAGTTTTTGATGTATCAGACTAGACTACTAGAACTGGGGATCTAGGTGAAGCATGCGTGTTGACTCCGCTGTACATGCTTATCACCTTGCAGCATTTCTTGTGCTGGGCCTGAGTATTCTGACCACTTATGGAGTGCAAGCTATCTTGAGGCTGGAGGGCTGGAGCCTCGCCCTTCTTGTGCTGTTCCTTGTTTTCTCCATTGCTGTTGTTCTCACCATTTGGAAGCAGCCACAGAATCAGCAAAAAGTAGCCTTCATGGTAGGTATCATGAGGATTAGAGGTCCTAAATATTATCTGTACTTTTTGCATGTTTGTGAGATGTTTCAAAAAAAAAAAAAAAAACTTAACAAAGTTACTCCATGAGTATTTTTTAAAGAGAATACAAAAACAGTAAAAAGAAAAAAGCACTAGAAAGGATACAGAATTTTATTAAATAAAATTATAGGAATTCAACAATGGTTGTTTTATTGCATATTATTGTCTTCAAATTAGTTTCTCGGATTACCAGATATATAAGCATGCAAAACTGGTCCCAAAAAATTGAGAGGGAAAAAATTTAGGCATTAACTGTTCCTTTCAATAAAGTAGTAAAAGTCTGCAGTACAGTTACCCAAGCAATGCTGTGTATATACATATGTATTTTTCCCTTCCTTCTTTGTTTTCTCCTGTCCTTCATCCCAGTTGTTCCTTCCCTTTGAACAGATTCTTTCCCTTTCACAGTATTTCTTATACCTTTCAGATTTTATTTACTCTTTTGGGTTCTTGTAGTAGGGAGACAATACAATGTTTAAACCTGTGGGTCTGATTTATTACACTTATGAATATTATCTCTTGTTCATCCAGTTACCTATAAAAACCTCCAGTTCATTTTTTTTTTAAAGTTGAGCTAATGAGCATTTTTTTAGTGTGTTCTTTGTGTTTCAGTATTTTCTCCACATTGGCTGTCTCAAAAACTCCCTTTCTCAAAAACCATATAGTAGGGGCTGGGGAGATGGCTCAGTGGAATAAGTGCTTCCTTGGCAACTTCCCTGGAGTCCAATCCC